GTAGGAGCAAATCCCCATTGGATGTCCTATTAGGCCTAGAGGAAAACCTTTAATGGCTTATTGATTAAAAGAAAAGAGAAAGTAAACAAGGGTTCTTTCTTTCTCCCCAAAGCCCGTCTTTAAGTTCTGTCTGTGCAAACCTCACAGACTGGCCTTTAAGAATTCTTTGATTCAACCACATTAATGGATTTATTTCTCTCTCCATAGGGGGCTCATAAAGCAAGACTGGTGGCATTAAAAGCAGAGAACCTGAATGAAATGGTGGAAGGAAACTAGGTCTGAACAGAAGAGCTTTCATGATACAAGCTTTGTAAACACAGACTATACACTCTGTACAAGGCATAAGACCAAATTTTCACCATGTTTGCTCTTACCTCGAATATAATCAATCTGCTAAGACACGGTTGGTATCTGAAGGTATATGAAGCTAATGTAGCTAACAGGTAATGGAAACTACTCACAGCAACATGCAAACTACAAGCCTAAAACATCACCCTTGAATCAAACCATGTCCCAGGTCAAATTGTTAAGTAATCTCAAATAGCCTTGCTGATGTGGTTTCTAATAGACCTGCTGATGTGGTTTCTAACAATATATGTCATTCTGTTATCTATAAAAATGGACAAAAGTCAGCCTACAGTGCATTGCTAACACAGTATTAGCAGCCATCTTGAAGCTTGACTTGTCTTGAATTGTCTGTACTTTTGTCTGTTTTTATAGCAGGTCATAAGGTCAGAACCCACACAGGCAAGTCAATTTAGACTACCTAACAACTGGACACAGTTTGAGGCAAGTGTGTGGTGATTTAGGTGTATTAGAACAAAATCAAGTGGCTATAAACTTGTAAATTAGCCTCGTAGCTCCAGCAAAACTAAAGGGAGCACCAAAAATGTCTACTCTGATCAACTACAGTTGCAGTAAGGACAGAATTAATAGGTTTCACATGGTCAAGCCATCACTTTAAAGATGATTGAGAGTTATCAGAAAAGCAAAGGACTCTAAAAATACAAAGAAAAGCAAGAAAAGCTGTGAACAATATCTGTGTTGCTTATCAGCTTGACCTGTAAAGAATGAGCTCAACCGTGTTTAATTTCCTCTGTTAGGGGTTCTTGTCTTAAGAGTGGGTTCTTTAGGGAATCAAAAGTGGTTCTTCTATGGCATCGCTCCAAACATTTTTGTTTTAAGAGCGTTTGTAAAAGTCCTATGTTAGATGCAGAATAAAGCTGCTGTAAATAATTGGCAAACGCTCGCTTCATTAGCAAGCAGAGCAGACTGCCGTTGTACCATTACGTCATAAGGCAATCAATACTGTACCCATATGTTCACTTAATTATCACTCGATTCTCATAAATCAATCGTCACGCAAGATTTACAAAGCCATCCAGCTGGAGTGACAAGTGGAGAGAAGCGTGTCAGCCTGCAGATAAGAGTACATTTTAATGGTGTCTTTCATCGTTGGCTTAGCAGTTGACACGTCAGTGCGAAAAGCTGTCAGTGCCCTTGTTTTTCTTTGGCACAATGGAGCCAAACAGTGCCACAGGAACGTTTGTTCCAACTTGGAGCGTATCGTCTTGACCAGAATGAGCGTAAATCATCTGAAACAATACGATTACGTTTTTTACTCGAGGAAAAAGCACATAGACGGAATCCAACCAGCAAAAAAAAAAAACAAAATGAAAGGAAGGAAGGAAGATAAGAAAGAGCTAATGAAGGAAGTAGGAAGGATGAATGTAGACTATCGATATTTCATTTTTAGAGCAGGCCATAGAGACTCCAGCGATGATCGATTGCTGACATTTCCACAGGTCCTGGGAAGGTCAAGGCTGGACTGACGTCAACCAGGGAATACATGACAAAAGCAAACATCACCTGAAAACAGCGGGAAGCAATAATAAATGTATAGATCACATGGATAACAGGCAAAAAATACACAATTAATGAGTGTGACACCGTGCTTGCATGCTCCAGCTAATCAAAGTCTTAAAGACTTTAAAGACCTGAATCAGGTTTGGTACAATGGGCTTGGAACTTCACTGGAATAAAACCAAAGCAATCAATCTGTTTTCTTTTATTTGCATATCTGTATCTATCTCAATTCAATTAGACTGGATGTCTCTCTGATTTGTATCTGATTTCATTTGATTGCAAACTAAGAAAAGTCAATCTGGAGTTAAAGTGGTCTGTGGTCTATGCATTGCTTGTTTGAACTGTATTTGGCCAATATGTTTAGTTTTAGAGAAATGTTTTAATTTGGTAACATATCTATAACTTCAAGAGTAGTGAGATCAGTAGTAGTAAATATAGTTACACGTTCTCAGTTCTAGGCTTATATCTGTGGAGAAGCTAAAGCACTGTGTGAAATCAGAGACCACCCTTTTGTTTATTTAATTTCAAAACAAAATCCATGTTTTTATGATATTTTTTTCATCAGAAAATCACATATTTCACAGAAAATTACACAGAAGATTAAAAGCTAAATTTAATATAATTTTTTAGTATT